AACTCTTAGGTAAATCAAAAAATGATCTTATTAAGTTTCCATGGAGATAAAATTTCCTTTCAGAAATTTAGCTACAATTGCTACGTCAGAGCACGATTTTTGGTAGAAAAGTTTGTACAACAAATCGAGGGGTATTTTGCAATTATTAAAATAGTCCGAGCGAGCGATGGCTTTGGTTTCTAGGTATACCCAAAATGTATTTGTTTTTTACTTGTTTAGGTAAAATGGGAAAAAAATGCAACGAATGTTTTTCTGAAACACGGGTTCGAATTCGTTAACCCTAGGATGTATATAGGCCATATTTAAACATTCAGCTACGACAAACAATATTTGGTTATTTACCATAACATATAATATCTGCATAATATCAGAACTTTAAAAAGCGATAATTTCGAAACTTGGTCAGTTTGCTCAGTTCTGACTTCACCATTGTCCTGAAATCGGCAATATACATATGTTCGAAAAAAAAACAAAAGTTTGTTTTGCATTATTTTTTTACTCAATGATTTTTGTCAAAATTTGATATTAAAAGTCCTTTATGAAAAAAAAAAATAATATTACATTAAACTCAAATTTTCTTTATTTAACCACAAAGTAAGACTCATCATTATGATGAGTTAAGATGAACTTACTAAGTTCATTAACTTCCAATTAAAAGCTATTCACAAAAAAATGACAGTCGAATACAGAAAAAACGATGTGGTGGACTGGGTGAAATCGAAGACTTTAGGACGAGGGTGGTCGATCTAAAATTTTAATTAATTTTTTATTAATTATTAGGCGAAGAATATAATAAAAAGACGCCCTAGGATAATAGGGACGGGCGCAGCCACCGTTTTAAGAAATTTAATGTACACCTGTAAGGAATGATAAACTATTGGTAACGAAAAAAGTTTCTTAGTACATTGTTCGAGTCTAAACTATTTTAACCTAAAGTTTAAATTACCTATTATTGTGCTGCAATAGTTCTCATACTTTATGCTATATAATATGATATACTAACAGGAAACGCGACGACGCCCGTAACAGTATTATACTAATTGGGCCCCTGGTTCCCGTGGGTACTATACAAGTTGGGTTCCGGATTTTTACAGGTTGTACACTAATTGGGTCCAGAGTTAATAGTGTCATATCAACCTAATAACTAATAAGTATAGAAAAGTAAAACATAATATTCTGGTACTCATAAAATGATAAAATAACCCAGACCCGAAAATAGCAAAATCTATTATATTTGTTTAATCCATGTATGGACTATAAAAATTTTTTGAAAAATATATGGATGAAGAATCGAAATTCCCCCTGGATATTTGATCGAAGTTTAATGCTACAAAAATACGAACGGCTACCACATGTGAATAATTTCATTCCTATTTTAATACCATTTTTTATGTGGAATACATATAAACGTATAATATATATACGGGGTGATTTTTTTATCGTAAACCAGCAATTATATCAACAGATTGTGAGTGAATTTAGTTTCTGTTTTTTCTAATGATTATGGAATCATTTAAGCTTTATTTTAAAACCATTTTTAATTTTTACCCTTACTTCATATACCTTAAATAAGTGCATACTTTTGATTTTAAAATAGGAAATAATCCCCCCCCCTCTTGTACACAGAACTAATTAGAGAATATTTTTCTAGAAATTTCGATATGCATAACACTAATATCAGATTTACCGTTTATGATTTATAACAGTTTAATGTTTATACCGGATGAGTAGGGAAGGGTAAATATATTGCCTATCTGTAACTCTTCCTTACTCATTCGGTCTAAAATTTAAACTGTTGCATACATGTTAAAATTACGTACGAATTGCGTACTTACCTATATAATAGCATGATTTTTTTTCTCAACTTTTCACAATAATTGTTCTTGAAAATCGCCAATTGAGTGTGTAGAGGGTTCGCAATGGGGATTTAATAGATTTAATTGGTTTGACGGGGTTAAGTAATATTTTTAAACGTCAAGGTTAAAAAAATAATAATAATAACAAATTAATTGGCTTATTAATAATACAAATCAATATAATATTTTTTAGTAAATATTTGTGGAACGTCGTCTTCGTCGGCGCATATACAACTGTTATTCGAATATACGTTCGCATTATTTATTTACACGGGTAGTGTACAAATTAATGTTTTATATTAATATACACAAGTGGCTCCACGCATCTTATTACCTTACAATGACCCCGTAGTCATTGCCAACAGTTCTGAAATTTTCGTCAACCTCCAGAATGCGTGCCGCAGATGTGGTGTCTCCAGATATAAAGAGGCCGACTGTTTAGACGGCTCTGGCAAGTTCATTGCTTGCAATCGAGCTGACCTTATGATCAAGCCCGGATCTGCATCTTGGGTGCGTATCACCGGGCCGAAAAAAGAGCTGCACGGGACTCTAGACCGGTGGGCACGCACGTGGTTGTGAAGAGACGGACGGGACGAGTTCTCAGGTTGGTAGTCTTGTCAGGCCGCCACGACGCAGTGGAGACACGAGCGCAATCGAATTTAATTATAATAATACGTATTGCGTAGTCATAATAATATCTAATTATATCTATTAACTATTATATTATCTTCTTTGTATTGTGTATGGACTGCTACGCACAAATATCAACCATAACATCATAATTTACGTTCCAAGTATACGAAAATGCGTTACGGCAGACAAATATATCTGACCGAGTCGAAAACTTGAAGAAATATTATTTTGAAAAAACCTAAAGTAAAAAGTGAAACAAAATCGAGTTTAAATTATAATAATAGTACTTTTATGTTGTACTCAATGGCGTATTTAGATAAACGGATGTTAGGGCCGCGTTCCCCTCACCTCGGGGTTTNACAAGTTTTGTGAATATATTTTGCATTGTATGCATAAATACTTATGTTGATTTTTATTTATATAGATTCTTTTATCGTTTAAATAAAAAAAAAAAAAGTCAATTTTACTGTAAAATGAATTGTTTTAGGTTATTTTTCAAACTGTTTCGATTTGTTTGAGTGCATTTAAATTCAAACAAAAACGTCATTTATTAATTATTGCCCTCCTGGATACTAGTTTTGACACCGCAAATATTTTTTACTGAATAACATTTTAAAAACAAAATTTCAAATAATAAAAGAAATATTATCATAAATTTTCCCGTTCTTTTAAATAATACAATTTTAAGGTCATAATTTGAAATAATAATCGTATTTCTTGTTTTTTATTTTTTCCCCGATTATTATGCAAATTACTTTGGATATCAAAAAACGACTTTTTCTGTTAGTGGCTACCAACTTTTTAGTTGGGGCAATATCTCTGGTACAAAACCTAGTGAACAGAAATCGAAAAAAAAAAAGGAAAACGATGACGCCGTGACATGCTGTAAATATTTGCCTTTTACCCATAATTTTTTTTCTGATTTTCCCCATATATTTTGAAAATTATTCAGAATTTTAAAAAATGACCTTTCAAATGTAGCAACTAAAAAACATTATTTTTCAGAAAGAGTTCTACTCGATATTTCAGAGCAAGTGTTCTGGTATAAAAATTAATCATACGCTCACAAAAAAAAAAAAATTCATCATAGTCAAACCAAAGTATACCCTCGCTATGCTCCATATCTAAAATAATATATTCTAATCTGTAAACATTAATTTTCTCAACAGTTTTTTTTTAGTTTTAATGTATAGTTGTATATATTACGACTTAATAATTGAAATTTAGCTTATAGAATTTAACAGGATTTTTAAATCTTAGTATAGATGTTTAGAATAAATAATACAGTCTAGATATTCTTGTTAATTTGCATTTTTATTTTATCTTATTTAAAATTTTATTTTATATAAAATTAAAATTAATAACTATCCAATAAAATAATTATTTAAGAAAAATTGTGTACAAATCATTTTTTCGGCAAAATTAATTTTTTTAAAGTTATTTTTTAAACTGTTTTTATTAATTTTAATGCTTCTAAATTCGAACGTGAACATCATCGTTCCAATTTTTGGTATCTAGGTTAAACATTTTCCGAAGTGATAAAGCACATTGTGTAATAATCTTTAATATCACACAAAACATATGTTTATAGTGTGCTATATTTGTTTAGTATATTAAGGACATTATTTTAAATGAACAATTCATTATTTACACAAGTTTTTAAATTTTTTATGTACCGCTATATAAAAGACTGTACACATTATTCTTTTTTTCTCAAATATCATTAATTTCTTTTAGTCCCCTTTTATTGATTCCCATCCCCGAATGTATGTGATGCAATATGCAAGACTTTGGTTTATATAGCCTAATAAGTGCCCTCCTGGATAATAGTTTTGACACTGTAAATATTTTTTACTGAATAACATTTATAAAACAAAATTTCAAATAATAAAAGAAATATTATCATCAATTTTCCCGTTCTTTTAAATAATAAAATGTTTAGGTCATAATTTGAAATAAAAATCGTATTTCTTGTTTTTTATTTTTTCCCGATTATTATGCAAATTACTTTGGATATCAAAAAACGACTTTTTTTGTTAGTGGCTACCAACTTTTTAGTTGGGGCAATATTTCTAGTATAAAACCTAGTGAACAAAAATCAAAAAAAAAAAAAGGAAAACGATGGCGCCGTGGCATGCCGTAAATATTTGCCTTTTTACCCATAATTTTTTTTCTGATTTTTCCCATATATTTTGAAAATTTTCCGAATTTTAAAAAATGACCGTTCAAATGTAGGAACATTAAGTTATTTTTCAAACTCTTTTTATAAGTTTTAATGCTTCTAAATTCGAACGTGAACATCATCGTTCTAATTTTTGGTATCTAGTTTAAACATTTTCCGAAGTGATAAATCACATTGTGTAATTATCTCTAATATCACACAAAACATATTTTTATAGTGTGCTATATTTGTTTAGTATATTACGGACAATATTTTTAATGAACAATTCATTATTTACACAAGTTTTTAAATTTTTTATGTACCGCTATAAAAGACTGTACACATTATTCTTTTTTCAAAAATAGTTCATTTTATAATTTGTAAAGTACCTACGAAACATTTATACATTTACAATGAAACGTATAATTATAATTTCTTTAATTTTTACTACAGTATTTGTCCACACAGCATACGGTAAATATATAAATTATGTATTTATAAAATAAAATGAATAAGGGCTAATACAGTAAGTATGTCGTATGCAATCACAAAAGTGAAAAAAGTGCGTATGGAATATTAATGTACCGTATCGTATTTGCTTAACCTTAAGATAATAATAATAATAAAATACTATACTTTACTATAAAAGAACTAATACTGAGGACACGGGTGCAGACAATGTTGAAGGTAGATGAATGAAAAGGTAGAGTACATAAAATTATTTAATTTATGCTCGTAGGCAACAGTAAACTATTGATAAAGAAAAATGTTTCGAAACGAAGTTCTGTTATAAATGTTTTAAAAGGCCATAAAATTAACGATGCTTGTTAAAATTGTATATTAACTCTTATAAATAAAATTTAATTACTATTTTACACCAATTTTTTTTTTATTTTTTCTAAAAACTTAGTACGAATTTAAATGAATCTCTGTCAAATTTCCAAGCATTTCTATTAGTCTATTAACATAATTCACCAAGTACCTGTCAAATAAAAATTACGTAAAAAAACCGGCAAAAATTATAACGTCTATATCTACAAAGATTGCTCAAAAAAAGCTCAAATATTTTGACAATTTAAGACATCTAGAAAAAACAAATATAGGATTTCTGTCAATATTTTGAGTCTCTGCAAATATTTTTAATTGAATAACATTTTAAAAACTAAATTTCAAATGATAAAATAAATATTATTATGAATTTACCCGTACATTTAAATAATAAAATTTTTAGGTCATAATTTGAAAAAAAAAATCGTATTTCTTGTTTTTTTGGTTTCCCCGGTTATTATGAAAACTACTTTGGATATCAAAAAAAGGCTTTCTCTGCTAGTGGCTAAATACTAAACGAAACAACAATGATTTCTTACAACATTTTGGTTGGAGTTATAATTCTGGTAAAAAACATAGTGAACCTAAATTAAAAACCGTGAAAACAATGACGCCGTGGCATGTCGTAAATATTTGCCGTTATACAAATAATTTTTTTTCTGATTTTTCCCATATATTTTGAAAATCATTTAGATATTTAAAATATGACCGTCCAAATGTAGCAACTGGAAAACATTATTTTTCAGAAAAATTTCTAAACGATACTTCAGAGCAAGTGTTATGGTAGAAAAAATGAACATACACACAAAATATAAAAAGACCAAATCATAGAAAAACCAATAGATACCCTCGCTATGCTTCATATCTAAAATAACATATTCTAATCTTTAAATATTAATTTTTTCAACAGTTGTTTTTAGTTTTAATGTATAGTTGTATATATTTCGACTTAATAATTGACATTTAGGTAATAGAATTTAACAGGATTTTAAATCTTAGTATAGATGTTTAGAATAAATAATACACTCTAGATATTCTTGTTAATTTGTATTTTTATTTTATTTATATAAAATTAAAATTGTATACTATCCAATAAGATATAGAATATACAATACAAGAAAAATTGTGTACATGTCATTTGTATAGTGGCGTTTTGTTTATCGAACGAGCAACATGTATGTTCCGCTTTCGAATTTTGAATACACGCGTTCGTTTAGTAACATACTAACTATGAATATGCCTTCGCCTTTGACACACGCGTGTGCGAGCTTGGATCGTCTTTCGGAATGTCTGTGACGGGTCAGGTTAGTTATCCATGCAGTTATACTACAAATACAACAAGACAACGAAAAACTTAACTAAGTTTGTTACCCAATTACAAGTGAGCAATGCACAACTACTGAGTGAATTATTACATTTCCAAGTGAGTTATATTAATGATCCTAATAAAAATATCAAAAACAATACAAAGATAAGTGAAAATTTGGATTCTAATTCAGGTGTTAGTAAAAGCCGCAAAATGATTCAGCGAAATATCTGGGAATACATATTGACTCACGACTTCACTGGAACATCATGTACGCCAGAAAAAGTTGCAAAACAAACAAAAATTGCACAAACTGTTGTGGCTAGTTGGTTGACACTCCGAGGTAGTCTTAACCAGCAAACGTCTCTTGTACGTATCGATACTTAAACCGATTAGGATTTATGGTATTCGACTGTGGGGTTGTGCCAGTAAGTCCAATATCGAAATAATACAACGATGCCAGATGATCGCTTTTTGTACCATTTCCGCAGCATATCGGTATGATAAGAACGACATAATTCACCGCGATTTGAAACTGTGATCCGTGCAGGATAAAATTACCCGGTTTGCTCGCAAACATGCAAGAAAACTGAAGCTCCTCATAAATGTGGCTGCCAAACAGCTCCTCGACTACTCGAAGGACATCAGACGACTCAAACGACTGAGAATATTTGACTTAGTCTAATTATTAGATTAATAATGGGGCTGATTTACTGGAAGTAAAACCCCACACAAGTTTTATAAATATATTTTGCATTGTATGCATAAATACTTTTATTGATTTTTATTTATAAAGATTCTTTTATCGTTTAAATAAGTCAATTTTACTGTAAAATGAATTGTTTTAGGTTATTTTTCAAACTGTTTCGATTTGTGTTAGTGCATTTAAATTCAAACGGGAACGTCATTGTTCTAACTTTTGATAACTACTTTAAACACACATTGTAACCTTGTTTATTATTCTATATTCCACTCTCCACACATGTTCTACCCAGTTAAGACTTCGACTTTTCATGACACCTACTTTATCGGTTTCGTTAAATGTTAGCCTTTATACTGCGTTTGTCCTTTTCTTTACCCTTTATTCATATTTATTGTTTTCATTGATCTTTTTATGGCCAAATATCCTCTTTAGTATTTTCTTCTCAAATATCATTAGTTTCTTTTAGTCCCCTTTTATTGATTCCCATCCCCGAATGTATGTTATGCAATATGCCTGACTTTGGCTTTATATAGCCTAATTAGTGCCCTCCTGGATACTAGTTTTGACACAGTAAATATTTTTTACTGAAAAACATTTTTAAAACAAAATTTCAAATAATTAAAGAAATATTATAATCAATTTTCCAGTTCTTTTAAATAATAAAATTTTTAGGTCATAATTTGAAATAAAAATCGTATTTCTTGTTTTTTTTTTTTTCCCGATTATTCTGCAAATTACTTTGGATATCAAAAAACGACTTTTTCTGTTTGTGGCTACCAACTTTTTAGTTGAGGCAATATTTCTGGTATATAAATTATATTGTGTAATTATCTTTAATGTCACACAAAATATATTTTTATAGTTTGCTATATTTGTTTAGTATATTAAGGACATTATTTTAAATAAACAAATCATTATTTACACAAGTTTTTAAATTTTTTATGTACCACTATAAACGATACATTATTCTTTTTTTTACAAATATCATTTGTTTCTTTTAGTCCCCTTTTATTGATTCCCATCCCTGCATTTATATATATTTAATACATTTGAGTATTTTTTTTTATTCTTTTTGGCAACCAGTTTATTAATAATTTTATTTGGCGAAGTCTTAAAAATTATATTTTATTTATTTATATGAAATGAGAACTATATTAATAAACCTGAAATAGTCTTATAAAATAACTTGTGGTATTTAAAATTTTATTTTTGTTTTTACTCTAGGGAAAGGGGAAAGTATGTGCATTTTTTAATATTATATGTAGTTTTTAACATTAATCGGACTAAATTTTGTATTAAGTTCGTATGATACGTTTCCTTAAAAATATGCCTGTTTTTTTCATTATTATTATCAATTCGTCATAATATTTTTCTTTTTGTATCGGTCCGACTACTTGGCCCTTTTATATTATTTTTACAAGTAAAACTTTTTCTTTGAAGGTAAGCGTAGGTTTTCCGTTATACGATATTTAATAGAATAAAATAGTTTTACCTAATAGGTTAGGTTATAGAGGTTTGGTATGGGTGTTATAACCCTTTACCTCCTATAACTCTGCCTCTAATATAAGACTAAATTTTTCGTTTTTATTTGAAGATGAACGATATGATGACATTAGAGAGCTAAAGATAGAGCGATTCATTAATATTCAACGGACCGTATTTTAGATGTTGACAAAGAATTTCGTAACAATTTTCGGATATAAAACATACATTTTGAACGAAACAAATAAAACAAAACCAAAATTTGATATTACTAACCTATAAAAATATTTTATCGATTATCACTTATCAGTTAATGTCAGTGTTGTCAACGAAAAATAAAACAAAAAATAAATATCATAGTAAATCAATAAGTATTGTTAGGTTTTTCTTAGATTTCATGAAAACCACATAGAAAATTTAATAGAATCTTCAATTACTACCTTCTGAACAATATTTCCATTCAGCAAAGGTGCTATGCGAATACATCAGAGCAGGATTTCAAGAAGAATTTTTGTATGTAGAACAAAAAAATAAATAAAAAATATCGTTGTAAATAAATAATTTCCAAATTGAAAGCAAAANGTGGCTACCAACTTTTTAGTTGAGGCAATATTTCTGGTATATAAATTATATTGTGTAATTATCTTTAATGTCACACAAAATATATTTTTATAGTTTGCTATATTTGTTTAGTATATTAAGGACATTATTTTAAATAAACAAATCATTATTTACACAAGTTTTTAAATTTTTTATGTACCACTATAAACGATACATTATTCTTTTTTTTACAAATATCATTTGTTTCTTTTAGTCCCCTTTTATTGATTCCCATCCCTGCATTTATATATATTTAATACATTTGAGTATTTTTTTTTATTCTTTTTGGCAACCAGTTTATTAATAATTTTATTTGGCGAAGTCTTAAAAATTATATTTTATTTATTTATATGAAATGAGAACTATATTAATAAACCTGAAATAGTCTTATAAAATAACTTGTGGTATTTAAAATTTTATTTTTGTTTTTACTCTAGGGAAAGGGGAAAGTATGTGCATTTTTTAATATAATATGTAGTTGTTAACATTAATCGGACTAAATTTTGTATTAAGTTCGTATGATACGTTTCCTTAAAAATATGCCTGTTTTTTTCATTATTATTATCAATTCGTCATAATATTTTTCTTTTTGTATCGGTCCGACTACTTGGCCCTTTTATATTATTTTTACAAGTAAAACTTTTTCTTTGAAGGTAAGCGTAGGTTTTCCGTTATACGATATTTAATAGATTAAAAAAACTTTACCTAATTGGTTAGGTTAAAGAGGTTTCGTATGGGTGTTATACCTTTACCTTCTTTTACTCTGCCACTGATATAAGACTAAATGTTTTGTTTTTATTTGACGATGAACGATATGATGACATTAGAGAGCTAAAGATAGAGCGAGACATTAATATTCAACGGACCGTATATTAGATGTTGAAAAAGAATTTCGTTACCATTTTCGGATATAGAACATACATTTTGAACGAAACAAATAAANAGAATAAAAAAAATTTACCTAATAGGTTAGGTTAAAGAGGTTTGGTATGGGTGTTATACCTTTATACCTTCTTTTACTCTGCCACTGATATAAGACTAAATTTTTGTTTTTATTTGACGATGAACGATATGATGACATTAGATAGCTAAAGATAGAGCGAGACATTAATCTTCAACAGACCGTATATTAGATGTTGAAAAACAATTTCGTTTCAATTTTCGTATATAGAATATACATTTTGAACGAAACAAATAAAACAAAACCAAAATTTGATATTACTAACCTTTAAAAATATTTTATCGATTATCACTTATCAGTTAATGTCAGTGTTGTCAACGAAAAATAAAACAAAAAATAAATATCATAGTAAATCAATACGTTAGATTAGGTTCTTCTTAGATTCCATGAAAACCGAATAGAAAATTTAATAGTATCGTCATTAACTACCATCTGAACAATATTTATATTCAGAAAAGGTGCTATGCCGAATACACCAAAGCAAGATTTCAAGTAAAATTTGTATACGTAGAACATAAAAATAAATAAAAAATATCGTAGTAAATAAATACTTTCCAAATATCCATATCTACACACAGTGCCAGTAAATTTGTATTATATTAATTAGCTGCGCAGAAAAACAAGAAAAATATAGAATAAGCTGCGATTTTAAAAATTATATTAATATTTTTATTTTCTAGGGCCAGAATCTAGTAAGCAAAAAGGTAAGTGGTTATTTTTGATTTAATAAGGTTGTACAGTACTAGAAAGGAAACTAGGTAATTAACTAAAACTATATACAGGGTGAGTTACTAAGCCTATTCTTTACGTACAGATCCCGAAATATTTTAATACCTATGAATAGATCAAATTTATTGTATAATTGTATTTTTTATTATATCACGTAAATAATACATAGTTCTTTAGTTTCAACAAACATTGAAATTTTTTCAAAAATCTTAAACAATATTCAAATGATTAGAACGTTTTACAATGTCTAGAAATGATAAGGTAATTTTATTAAATTTTCCGTTTATTTTCAGTTTGATTTTAAATTTTGGAAAATAAAAAACTACGTCCCGATAAAACAATCTGGAAAATAATTCCATTTAGACATGGTGAAGGGCACAAACATCTGAGCAAGATTTCTGGTAGAAATTTTGTACAAAATACAAAAGAAGAAAATAACTATCATAGTGAAAAATATATTCCCCACAACACAAAGAATCTCGTGTTTTAGATATTGAGTGGAATTAGTATTTTTGTACAGTTAAAATAATGAACTGCACACGGTTATTAGCATATATGTTATTATCAAATGCATATTATATCAATGAAACAAAAACTGCAGTATTGCCAACAATATACTCGACTGAAATACTATTAGAAATCGTTGTATATAAAAACAGAGCCAATATATTTTTATTGAATTAGTTGCATAGATAAATAAGTAAAATATAAAATAAGCTGGGATATTTAATTTTTTTTTTCTAGCGCCACAATCTAGTAGAACACCGGGTAATTGATTATTTGTTTTTTAATATATTATGCAGTATTAAAAAGAAATTATGTAACTTATTAAAACTATATACAGGGTGAGTTAATTAGCCTGTAAAAATGGGTACAAATCTCACAATATTTTAATTTCTACGATGAGCTCAAAAATGGTTAAAGTTTTTATTTAATTTAATTTTTTTTTTTTTTTAATGTAAATAATAAATGATTAGTGTTAATAAAAAACCATTGAATTTCAACCAAAATATAAATATAATTCAAAAATCTTAAC